TCCAATCTTAACCATTTTATTTACTGTCTATTCCTTTTAATGGCAGGGTATGTTGCGAAATATAACTTCTATAATGCTGATATGTTTGCAAAACTCCGGGCCGCAGGTGTCTGTGGTAGGGAACGAACGAGCTATTGCCCTTTCCGGGGAGTAACGCGTTCACCACCACCAAACCATGCGGGTCCTTCGTTTCGCTTATCTCTCAGCTAGTTCTATCGATCTTTTGGCAACAGCATTCACCCGTCATTGAAGTTATATTTCGCAATATATACCCTGCCGCTAAAAAGAGTGGGCAGTAAATAGTAGGTTAAAATAATGTTTCAGTTCTCATTTCTTTCTCTTATTCCGAATTATCCTATTTTGTATCCATTTTTACTGGATCATGGCAATGAAGTCTCCAACAACGAATTTATAGAAGGACTTCTCGTTGCGGATTACTTGTGTGCGGAAAAAGCACTCTTCTAATGAAGTCCTGTGAAACTAGAGATTTGGTCGTCTCTTACTTGTTGTCTCAGTTCCTAAGGTCGTAGAAGAGAGGGCTCACTTTGTACGGTAAATAGGCTGGAGCTTTCTCTAGTCTTGCCAGTATGGTTCCCTGCAGTGCAGAGGTCAGCGCCTAGCCGAGGCCTTCGTCAGATTGTCATCACCACAGCAGTCTCTGGAGCTTATGGATCAGACAGGGATTTGCCATTCGGCGACTAGTTTAAGACCATGAAGGTGGTGACTTCCGATGTTGGTTCATTCCTAGGAGAAAAATTCGGAAAATACGATACAAAAACTGAACTAAAAAGCTGTTGCTTTCTGATGCATCAACAATAATGTAAACGTATTCACAAAGAAGTAGAAGATGGATGGTAAACCTAAACTATGACTAAGGAAAAGTGCTTATAAGAAATTAAAAGATAAACAAATAAACAAAAACGTACGCATCGGTAGTCCATCTGACAAAAACACATTATTTGGTTGCTCAGATCTACACACAGCAAGCACAGCACCCATTTCCGCGTCTTAACCTTCTCCATTATCATTCTCGAGAACAAGGTAACAGAAAGATATGTCGGGTTAATCACGTTCAATGGGTAAACTTTAAAAATTTCAGTAGCTGAACAGTAAGATTCATACAAAGTGATAAACGAGGAAGTTCATTACAATGTGAGGAAAAGCATCAGATCAATCACATCGACGTCGAGACTGTTGAGATATGGGAGAGTAAGTGGAAGAATGCGGTAACAAACGAAAAAAGTATAACTCGTATATAATGCTGAGATATTTGCAAAAGTCCGGACTGCATGTGTATGCGCTGGGGAACGAACACGCGCTCTTGTCCTCACCGGGAGTAGCGCACTTCACCACCACACCATCCGGGTCCTTCGTTTTGCCTGTCTCTCAGCTAGTTCTATTGATCTTTGCCGTCAGCAATCACCCGTCAACGGGATTGATCTGGGGAACCCAAATCGGCATTGAACCCAGTTAAGCTGAGGCTTAGTTATAATCACAATCTTAACCCTTTTATTTCAATAGAACTAGCTGAGAGACAGGCAAAACGAAGGACCGGGATGGTGTGGTGGTGAAGTGCGCCACTCCCTGGAAAGAATAATAGCGCGCGTTCGTTCTCCACCGCTTGCATACACCTGCGGTCCGGAGTTTTGCAAATATCTCAGCATTATATACGAGTTATATTTCGCAACATAGCCTGCCATTGAAAAGAAAAAGGCAGTAAATAAAAGGGTTAAGAAAAAAGCATATTTATTCACATGATTTTATAAACTGATCTTCTTAAGCTGGTGCGAGGTTGGCAAAGGCCTTCGTTGTCGTTGCCGTTGTTGTTGATGTTGATGTTGTTGGTCGATGGCTGACGTTTCGGCGATTTCCCCTTCCTCGCCGCCTAGACGTTATACACGAATACTTCAACCATTCGTTGGAAAAAAAACTAAAGTTTAATGAAGATCAAACTTTTAAATGGACGCCATATTGATCAGAAAGGCTACTGACCGTGCTGCTGTTAGTGGGACTTCCCTCGCGTTGTTCACGTGGAACGGCGAGCGAGACTCACCTATTGGTCAAAAAAACATTTTGCAATAAGGCGTCAGGTCAAGTGCGATAGTGAAGCATTCGCCTTTCCGGTTCGTCTTCGAATTTTTGAAATTTATCTAAAACGCTTCAAGAGTCTTGCGCGTTGATGTGTTCGATTCCTGTGCTAAGATCCACGCAGTCACTTCGAAATCATCGCCATTGCGTTTTTGTGTCCTATGCATACCTAGAGGAGTGTTTAGACGGATTTTAGCTTTTCCATCTAGATGTTCTTTTATGCGAACACAAAGTGGTCTACCCGTTTCCCCATTATATTCCTCGCCGCATGCGTTATATGAGATCAAGTATATTAAACCTGAACTCATGCATTCCCCGTCTCTCCCGTTAGGACAGAGCATAGTTTTCTGAGCTGCACAAGCCATCATAAAGAATGCTGCGAACTAACTGACGGCATAAGGTATTGGACGGGATGTCAATAATCGTTACATAATTTTCAAGACCACTTTTTCTTAAGCACCTCTTAATGGCGCAATTTGCTTCGTTTGATATTTAGTGTAGATAAAAAGGAATCTTACGTTCGAAACATTATTTTGGGAAGCCACCCTACGTTTTTGTCTAACCCAAAAGGCTTCTATTTCGTAGCCACTGGAAATAGCTATTTTTCGTGCCAGGCTTCGCGATTCCTTCCTTTCCTCTTCTCTTGTGCACACATTTTTATCCGTTCGGTATATGTTTTTGATAAGTGCGTTTTTCATGTGTGAAGGATGAGAGGAGAGGCAGTGAACTAGAATGCTTTTACTACTTGGCTCGCGATACTATTTTGTTATATAGCCACTTTCTGAGAGCTTTATCTGAATGTCTAAGAATGGAAGCCAGTTCTCGGTTGGTTTTCCCGTGCAAATTTATGTACTCTGACTGTCGGCTTAACAGTTCAAAGCACTCATCCATCTGTTCTTATGTGGAACATACGATGAAGCAGTCGCCTATGTATCGGCAGTAGAGTAAGGTTCGGTGAACGAGAACTGGAGCTTCCACCTTAGACATAAAAGCGATGGCAAGGCTTGGTGCTACACGCTGTCCCATGGCCAACCCTCTAATTTGTGCAAAATATTTTCCAGACCACCTGAAGATTGAATAACTAAGACACTGTTTTAAGAGAGTAATTAGTTGTGCAATCGACAAGCCGTACATTTTTATTTTCTTCTCGCGCTCTACGAGCTACTCGAGAATGGTTTGCATTGCGGAGTCATTCGACACGTTGTTATAAAGTGAAGTAACCTCGAATAACTCCACTACGGGCGTGCTGCTTGGTTGCGCGTACCGTAGGTGGTATAGAAATATTTCGGTGTTGGGTAAATGGGTTGGAATGAATTTTAGCAACTAGGTTAGGATAAAGTTTAGGAACCACGTTATTCTATCCGTTGTCCCGCCTATACAACTGACGATAGGTCTAACTTTATATGAAGATGGGTTCGTTGACGTAATATCATCAGTTGAAATAAGCTTATATGTTTTATAAGCAAGTAAAGGGCAATGCAAATCGGGTGTCGTTTTTAAGTCGAGAAATAACTGAAGGCTCTAAACCCGCTGCCATCATGGGACACGTGGTTGTTGGTTCGATCCTGCGACCTGTGATCGCCAAGGTTTGCATTCTTCAGTGATCGGTACACTGGTACCATGTTTGTCTGAAGGATAGCACAACTGATATAATACATCGTTTGACTGGATCTCGCAGCTCTAAAAAAGGCGATACTTCCGAAACATTAGATGAAGTAAAGACCTGTAACAAACTCGTGCAAGCCTATCAATAAAGCAAAACCTATGTGAAGTACTAATTACTTAGTTGGATACTTGGGTGGCCTATCTTCACTGGTTTTGCGGACCCCAGAATAATTTCCACTTTTTTCAAAGTTTTGCTGGTTTAGCTACTGCAGTTCGCTGGGGTCCCACGGTCAACCTAGCCAAAATCTGCCTCAGGTGGCCACCGCCAAAAGCGCTCGTCGCCCCTGTGGGTCAGAGGAAGATTTGTCACCATGCGAGCAGTTCGATACCATGACGGTGGTGGATCGTGGTAGTGGTTAACTGCTAGCTAGGCTTCCTGATGGAAACGCCAGACTCTTTCTCAGCTAGGGAGACCCTGCCAGCGGGAGTGAATCCACCCGCTGTACATCGCAGCCCGACACCCAGTAACACCTTCCAGCAACGGTGAGGCGGTAAACCGTTGGAAGGAAGTACTATTTTGCACTACTAAATAGAGACAACGGATATCTGAAAAGTTCTTTCCGGTTCAAAAAAGTTTTTTCTTCTTCTAAAGCACACTTGACTGCGTAATATGGACTGTTGGGAATTTTCGGAAAAATTGAATTTTGATCTGACGCATTGTTGATGATCGCGGAATTCACAATACGTATCTGTACAGTCGGAATTCCATGTGTGCGATGTGTTTAAGCAGCTTCATAAAACAATTGCAATTGTTTAAAACACTATAAAAAAAGCAGCCTGAAGTCAACAACGAATACCAACTCGTCTTTTTTTTCTAGTTTCATTTAGATTATTTGCATTCCGAGAATAAAACCTGAATAATTGAGACATTTAAAAAACACTTTGCAAGACTGTGCATCTCTGTCTAGATTAGACAAATGTAAACGAAAAATTAGGAAATCCTTACGCTTAGGATTAAGGATTTCAATAACATTACTAGACAATTCAGGTAAAATGTCCCGTATGGTGGCCTTTCTTTCCGTCTTGTTCGGCTCAGCGAATGCCGCGGCTTTCACCGACTTGAACTGCACCAACTTGGACGCTGCCAATACGAAGGTTAGTGCTGAATCTTGTTCTCAAAAATCCTCGTTCTTCCTCGAATTCGTCATCATTCCACCATTTTAACGTAACAGAACATCTCAGTACAGCCAAATGAATTAACATCAGGTATTAATTTCCCACATGAATTCCACTGAAATAAAATTTTACTGAGGAATGAAACTTTCGCAGTACCTCGTATTTGGACATCCAAGAACATTGTCTTTTTCAAGATAAGGCGGTTTGATGAACGACGGCGACTACTACTTAAAATCCTCATACTAACAAAATCAGTTCAGTTTGTCGCAAGTGCCACTAACTGCGAAAACAAGTATTCAACGTCGGCCTGTGTTACATTGTTCGGTGTGGCAGTAGTCGAACAGGGAGCAGTAGACAGAGACGCCAAATGCAGCAGGGTCAGTTTAACGAAAGAGATTAAGCCATGCTTAGAAAACTCTTAGAATCCCACCAAGAAGAATCGTAAACGGAGTGATACATTTTTCGTGGACAGCAATGTGAAAGGAAGTTATCAATGATAAAGATAACAGACAAGTAGCGTTTATTAAAATGAACAAGTGACATCTTATAAGCGTAGAGAAAAGAAGAAATAGGATCCTACTGAATTAATATAATGACTCGGTAGTTGCAGCATATTTCAGCTACATTTATTAGTTTTGCTCCAGTAGTTGATTTCAAGTTCAGGATGCAGCTGGCGCAAACCAAGAATTGAAACAGCTCGCCATTTCCACCTGTCCTAAACATTGTGGTTATTGTTGTGAAACTCCAGAATACAAGTGTGATAACAAATTATGTAAGTACTCGCTTACGTCTCTAGAGCCTTAAATTACCTCATTGCTGAACGTTAACCTACTCATTGTTACATAATTCTTCTTTTCAAAAATCGCTTTAATACTGGGTGAAGCAACAAAGAAGTATTAACAAAACTTTGCAATTTTTAGGTTGCTTTACAAATAGAAGAGATAAAACTGCCGCGTCGCAGTAAAATTATTCAATTTCAGTACCACGAGTGAAATGCGAAACGGTTACGCCCGCCCAGTGCACAGATCCCACATGGAGAGCTGTTCTTGCCGAAGATTGTCCAAAAACGTGTGGACTCTGTCTTTCAGGTGCTTTATGTGACTAGCTCAAATATGACAAAAAACACTTACAGAATGCAGAGAACAAGTCAGAAATAGCTGTTGGTTTTTAAAAATGTAAAGCACAAAACAACTAATTGGAAAATTTGTCCATAACGTTTGGATTCGCATCGAAAACTCGGACCCTAGGATATATTAGATTCAAGAATGATGTAACTAGAACCTGGAGTTGAACGTTACACAAGTGGCAAACAAATGGTCATTAATATGTCACTTTACAAGCAACGCGGTACGAAAAGTGTCAAAATTGTACCCTTAAAAAGTTAACTTTTTCAGTAGCAGTCATTCACTTAAATTTTCTATTCTGTTACGCTCAGCCTAAGTCTAACCAGTTTAATTTTACAAAAAAAATTGTGCATAACTGAGCGGGCGATTTATGCATATTTGGGTGTGCAGAATGGACCGCATGCATTGATTTATCAATGCGTGCTTTTTCGAATGTTCCCTTCGCCATATAGACTTGATTTTCGCAGTATATATATATACGAATATATATATATATATATATATATATATATACATACATACATATGGGGATGACAACGTCTCACAGGTGGATGCGTGGACAAAGTGGTAGCGTGTGCAAACGATCCCTCCATCTGCCGGCAAGTCGACATGCAAGTGTTTGTAAAGGTGAGCATCTCGTACTTTCAAATGCCTCTTTGTTCGAATTTGCTAACCTAACAAGGATAACAACGAAAATGAAAATTCTTTGCTAAAACTAAGCTCTGAGGAAGAGGAACGTTGAGCAATTGAGCGCACTGTAGGGAACAAAGCAGCTTCTAAATTAAAATATCAAGAACAAGGCAAGCTATTAACGAAAATATTTAACGAAATCGTTTAGGAGAACTGCCAGCGAACGTGTGGCTTTTGCACGACAAGTGAGTAAAGTGGTTTTTAATGCCGGAAACTCGGCAATCTTATATCCGATTAGTGGTAATCAAGACAAATAACTACAGTAAAATACTTGGAGAAACCTCTTTCAGATGCAAATGGAACGAATTGCGTCGACAGCAACGCTGTTCCGTAAGTATTGCATTACGAAAAAACTGCTCCTTTGCACTTTAACACTCGAATTAACTAAACCGCTTTATAGCTTATTACGAAATTCCTTTCACGGATTAGCTCTAGAGGAACATTTTTACAATGAAGGGTAGAAATTTGGAAAATTTCGCTTGTCTTTAGCATAAATCGAAAGAAAGGATTAATGTGTTCAGCAGCTGAGGGGATTTCCAACAATTCAAAGAGATAGAAACTTTGTTTGTGATCCATCTGACCAGCAGGGCACCTACTCTTTCACCATCGTGCCTAATTTTGCATGGCTGGCCCACCCGACCCCGGACTAATTTTACGTTATTACGGACTTGCTGGTCTTTTTACAATCTGCAACGACTTTTCGAGAAGTGGATTAATTGAGGGGTTGTGAAAGTGACAGAATTGCAGAAAAGACTTTTCTCTCTATGGATGTGAATGATATGTGTAATGTTAACTGCTGTATGTTACTATGGAATGGCCACGAAAAGGTGGGCAAAAAGCTCCGTGGTCAAAATAACCCTGTGGAAAGCATGCGCAATGAAATCAACATGTACAGTTCGTAGCATGCGCCAGCATGCTTAACAAAGTCAGTGCGCACAGTAGCAAAAGGGTTCGCAAAAATTGATAAGGGATAGAGCATAAAGCCTTTGTTGATCAGTTCCTGATGGTGCGCCATGCATTCGACGTCTTAAGCATCGCTAGAGGTGAATGAATGCATGTCTTCTCCGTAGAATGGCTTTCAGTAGCCTAGCGTGCACAAAGTCTGTTTCGCTATCTTCCCGTGCTATGGTACAAATTTATCCACCCCAAAAGAGCACATAGCTCAGCAACCCGGGATGCCATATCAAACCAAAGACAATGTGTACTGCACTGCACCTCCTACCAGTGTGCTACAAAAAATGAAGAAGGAGAAATTAATGAAAAATGAAAATGTTTTTTATCATCAGTGTCACGTTCTCATTACAGCTGTGCCACATGGGCGTTGAATGGCTTCTGTACAAGCAACTTCTATAGCGTAACCCTAAGACGTCAGTACTGTGCCAAGACGTGCAATCTTTGCTGAGCGTCGTATGGACTGCTACTACCTCAACAAAAAAAAGCCATAAGGATGAGAGAAAAACTGTTACTCTATAGCAGGACTGACGAACTTGCTAGGAAATCGATAATGCATTTCCGATATCATCTCTAATCTCAGTTATATCATGTTTTGTTATTTCATCACCTAACCAACAGCATTACAAATACCCCATACATATGCTTAGAAATTTCATTGATCGTAAGAAGAATTCTGGAATATGATTTTACAGACTTGAAAAAAAAGAATTCTGTAGCCTTCAGCCGCCTACGATTAATAAAATTTGAGTAACAACTTACCATACAACATATGCACACTTTTTCTTACCACTCAATTGAAAACAAAAACTAATTTTACCACGTTTTCATTAGAATTTCATCGCACGACTAATAGAAGCATTAAAAAGTATAAAGGATAAAGCTCTCGACGTTGATCAATCCTTGAGGAATGCGCCATGCATCCGACTTCATCAATTATCGTTGAAAGTGATTGAATGCATATCTGACCTATATAATGACTCGCGCTGGCCTACCGATGTATCGAGCCAGTACTGCCATCCTCCCAGACAAGTCTGGTAGCAATTCGCCGACCCCGGAGGGATGGAGGACTCGGTGGGCCATGGGCGCGGCGATCGATTCTACGTCTGTCGCTCCAACCACTGCGCCACACGCGCCTCTTATAGAATAAGCACTAAGGTTAGTAAATCTATGGTCCGGAATTCATGTGAAGTAAATGTGGTTTACATAGAATGAGATATGCTACCAAGTGAAATTAAAGGACTTTTATGACACTCTCTATTCCACCATTCTAAATCAAATAGAGACGATTGAGAAATTCTTCGTATTGTTGTCGAGCAAACGCGAGGTGTTATAATTCTTTATTCACGAATAAGCTGACGTTTCGGCGGATTTCGCCTTCCTCAGAGCCTGGAAAGGTCAAGTTGAAAGCAATCTACTCGGCCAGACGCCTCCATAACCAAACAAAGAAACTCTAAACCAAGATTTCAATCACATTGAACACAGCTTTGCACACTCGCCGCTTCCTATGAGGTTTCCACTAAGTATGTCGCTTGAAGACCAACCGCACAGAAATCACATGAAAGCATAATGTGCCCCTCCCATCAGAATAGCAGTCTTATATACTGCCCTATATCACGCGTGACAATGAGGCATTCTTCCCTGTGGTTCATTTTCGGATTTCTGGAGTTAATCCAGAATGCCTGGAGAGTTTTGCGCGCTTGTGTTCTTGATTCGTGTGCGAGGATCATGACACATACTTCAAAGTCCTCCCCGTTATGTCTCTGGGTCCTATGCGTGCCTAACGGGGTATTTGGTCTATGTTTACCGGCTAGGTGTTCTTTTATGCGGACACAGAGGGGTCTACCCGTCTCGCCAATGTATTCGTCACCGCACGTCTTACAGGAGATCAGATAAACTATACCCGAGCTCATGCAATCACCGTCTCTACCACTGGAGCAAATTATGCAATTTTGAGCTGAACATAGACGGTCATATAGGCGGTTACGAACTAGCTGCCGCTTAAGATTACGTTCGTGTGAGACGTACAAATTCACCTGTCAGAAAATGGCTGCATTACAAAGTGGTACCGAAAGCCAAGTTGTACTTCCATTTTTGAACGTACAAATTCACCTATCAGAAAATGGCTACATTACAAAGTGGTACCGAAAGCCAAGTAGTAAAATTATCTTGGTTCATTACCTCTCCTCTCACCCCTCTCACACGAAAAGGGCGCTTATAAGAAACATGTTTCGAACAGCAACCAACGTGTGCAAGGGAAGAGAGCAGAGAGGAGTCCCTGAATTTGGCGGATGATCGCGCCATAATCGACAGTCAATAACTAGTGACTGTACCAAGCATGGGCGCGTGTGGCCGAGTAGTCGGAGGCACCTCCAATACACGCTGGATCGATCACCGGGCCCGTGGCCCATCAAGCCTTCCATTTGTCCGGAGTCGGTAAATTGATACGAGACTTGTCTGGGAGGATATCAACACCGGTTCCATACATTAATTGGCCACCGCAAGTTATTTTAAAGACCAAATATGCATTCAGTCACCTCCAACAATGCTTAATGAAGTCGAATGCGTGGAGCATACCTCATGGATTGATCAACGCCGAGAGCTCTATCCTTTTTTTATACCTAGCATTATTGGTTTCAAACGCGATCTTCGTCGCAAGTGTACCAGCGATATCTATCGATGTGCGACCGAATGAAGGGCAAAACCACATTGGTTATAGTGACTATTCTCTACAACGTAGAGAGTACACTCTACTCTTTATACCATCACATATTTTTTATATTACCTGTATATCGTTCCAAAAAATCAATTTCCTACCACTGTTTATAGAATGCTTCATAAAAATAGTAACATTTGAATGGAGCGTCATCGCAATGTCTTTACTTATTTATCAATATCTGCATGAGCGTGAAAACACGCTTCAGGAAAGACTCATGCCCACTATCTTCAGACGCCATTCAGACCATCAGATTGTGAAATCACTTCTTCTTCCTCAGTTTTTCCATCCACTTTTTAGTAAGTGGTACTTGATCTCATACCATCTTAGTATTGAGGAAAACATCGAACGTCGTAAGACCACTGGAAGTTATGGCGTAGGCCAAATATGTATTCAACCACTCTACTATGATGAATGAATTCAAAAGCATAGGCCAGGTCTCAACCCCAAATCCCAGACCAGAGCAGAATCCCGCACAAAGTCATCCGGCTCAAAACGGCGACCGAAGGGATCTTCGTATCTAACCTCTTCTGTCCTTATTGAGTGTACTATGCAAGCTGCTCACGAAAACTATCCCACCGCGCATGTTAAGGACATTGGACGAGGCAGAATCGGTCGAGCAAGCAGGATTTCGACAAGGATTTTGCTCCACAGACTACTTCCAAACCGTGTCCAAGGTCGTAGGAATTTGTTGAGAATGACACCTACTCGTAGTCTCTACTTTTATCGACAACGAAATAAGGTTTAACAGCGCCAAAACAAATGCAATCTACCATCGATCGTTGAGCAAGGGGTCGGCACGTCCTACTGACGAGCACTGTCCGACCGTTACCAGAACTGCAGCAAAAAATACAGCTTCTCCATAGAGCCCTCACTGTAGCCAGAAGAAAAGGGGTTCAACCAAGCGATACAATACCGCCAACGGTGCTTACTACCGCACTGAAATGCATAACGCAGTCACTGGATTGGGACGAAAATGGCATACGTATTCATAGAAAATTCGTATCAAATTCTCATTTCGTGGATGACATGGTCATCTTTGCAAGAAGTACCAACGAAATAAAGACAATACTAAATGAGTAAGAGAATCGGGGAAAAAATCGATCACGCGCAAACCTCAATGCCTAGCTGGGATGCGCAGCCCAGATCTTCGGGGCCCGGGTGAATATACATCGATGGCGAAACGCAGATGGGTCTGTCACATAATAAGAAGAACCGATGACATCGGACGAAAACAACAGTGGAGTGGACTTCAAGAGAACGGAAGCGTCCTTTTAGAAGACCAACAAAATGGTGGAACGAAATGTTCGTTGTCAACGTTAACTATCTGCATGGGAACGATTTAAAGATTATAGAATGAACCTCGCGGACGTCAACATTTTCGAAATAGACCCAATCACAGGTGGCGACTGTTCGTGAGAAAACCGAATGGAAATATGCTGCGGCCCGCACAGCCAGAGAAGATCGTCCGCCCAAGTACCCAAGCACCCAAGTTTTAGTAATTGCATTCTTTCGAGTGCTGCACTAATATACATCATTGTGAAGCTTATTTTGTGCAGTTTCGCTCTGTAAGAGTGATTACGATAGAGATTGCTTTTTTTTTGACAAGTTTTACCCGTTTGAATTGAGATGGCAACACCAGGGAACTAAAGGAAGAATCGCGCGACTTTGCTCGGCAAATAGCCATCTCCAATGGCTACGAAATAGTAACCCCATGAGATAAGTTTACAAGGAGAACGATGCGCCCACGCGAAACATTTGGCCAGAAGAAAGTCCCGTTCATGTTGCCTTTCATAAGCGATAAAGTAAGCGTAGCTATAAAACGATGCTTAAGAAGGGCAAGTCTAGAGGAATCGGTAGCGATAGTTGAAATACCACCGGCTACTCTACGTCGCCAATTAGTTCGCAACCGCCTGTATGACCGTCTGTGTGAAACAACAAATTGCGTAATTTGCCCTTACGGCAGGGACGGTGATTGCATGAGTTCAGGTACGATATACCTGATCTCGTGTAACAATTGCGGAGATGAATATATTGACGAAACGGGCAGACCTTTGTATATCCGTTTAAAAGAACACCTAGATGGCAAACGAAAACTAAGACGAAGCACCCCACTAGGCACGCATAGGATACAAAAGCATAGCGGAGACGATTTTGAAGTAAAAGTCAATATCCTTGCACAGGAGTCCAAAACACCAGCGCGAAAACTTCTTGAGGCTTTTTGGATCAATGCCAAAAACCCTACAATGAATAGCAGGGACGAATGCCCGGAGGTCATACGCGACCTGATCCCGTACGTTCGCATCGATTTTTGATGTGGGATGGTGCAGTCGTCAACCACATGCGACTATAATCAGCTGTTCTAACCTTCCTCATTGGAAGTCACGAAAAAGCGGTGGGTTTTTTCGAGAAGTTGTTGGTCATGTAATTACCAAAGAGTCTTTCGTCTTTGTGTAAGTGTTATTGAAGCGTTTGGCCTAGTAGATTGTATATCAGTATACCCTTCCAGGCTCTGAAGAAGGCGATACTGCCGAAACGTCAGCTAGCGTTGTATTGTAATGTGTTTTTTATGGAAGTAAACGTATGCTGTTTAAAAACCTCGCGATTGCTGAACAAGAAAACGACACAGCAATTTCAATAAACCCGCTTGTACTAACCCAGACTCTGCAGCACATACGGCTCTGAAGGCTGGTGAGTTATGGAGCCAAGAAAAACGTTAGCCTCAGAAGATTTGTCGTAGGGAACTCGACTTTGAAGATATTGAAGACAATAAATGGAAGGGCTCGCTGGAAGCATATACACATATACAACTGTTGAAGTACTTGAACAAAAACTCGATGTGGTCGTCTCAAACGTTTCCAAGTACTAAATGACATATCTTGGGAATCGACCTTAAAAATATCTAATCACAACTGGAAAGCCAAATAATTTTGACAAATGGGTACCGCACGAATCAAATGAGCATCGTAGTCGCGGCAACAGGTCACACTACTAACGCTGCAGAGTTGAACTAGCAGATCTACGAAACTATTCCTCACTTAACAACTTTCTTTGCTCTATCTGCGAAATCCTTGAGGAACCATATCGCTGCCGAAGCTGCCCTCAAAGACTTCTCCATCTCCAGAAATCCCGACCTGTAAGCAACCCGAATAACTGGACTCGTTTCTGTATGCAGAAATATGCAGATTCTAATGTTCCTTATTCCGATTAGTTTGTCATGAGCTGAGCCTCCTTGAAGACACAAGTATGAATCCTACGCTGATTTCCGGACCACCAAATACTTCGTCTCATATTTATGCAGCGCTATCCGACGACAATGCAGTGAATTCATCTACGTGCATGGATAAAAATCGTCAATCGTTATCAACTACACTGACAGATCCTCTTCCATATCCACCTCTTCTTATCCTTATAAATATTTGAAATCTTCTAACTACTTTGTTACTGTAAACGGTCACCTATCCTTACCATCAAATTCTAGATTGCAAAGAAAATTATTGACATAGACTACGAGGTATATGTAGCCAAAAATCAACCAAACTTTTAAAGGAGAACAATACCAGAAGAACTCATGGATATATTACTATAGCAATATTTAAGACTACTAGTCCTTTGCTCAATGAATGAGAATACCGAACTTCGAATGTAATTGTCGCCAAATCTCTCCATGTTCAGAGCATGTTGTAATATTTCGTTCTGATAAAGTTATCAAACATTGTTAAACCATAAACTAGCAGCATCTGCAAACAACCGATACACAACACCAAAATTATCCAAGCGAATACATAAAACATAAGAAGAGGTTCGCATAAGATCATGAAAACTGATTTTGATTATATCCAACAATGATAGCACGATGCAGTGGCAGCTAATCAAGTCATTGCTCGTCCATATCATCTTCCTCGTGTTCCTCTAAAAAAAGTGAAGATGAGGGATATCGGAACTCAAAAAAAATAAGAAAAAGAAATTAGATGCCTGTGCCATTCATCTGGACTATAGGAAAACTAGGACAAATAATCTAAATGAAAAAGGTAAGACTGCTCACCAATACCATTATGAGAGTGACTCAGCATGCGTAGCAAATTTTCCCTTCCCTCTTCGCTAAGTTCCACATCACCACCTTCAGCTATCTGAACAAAGAATGCACTACATTGATAGAAATAGTGAATAATTTTAACATGGACATGTCTATAAAAACAAAGGCCAAAGCTCTCTGTGTTGTTTCATTAAGCAACGTCATAGGTGACTGAACGCGTATCTAACCCATACAATGACTCGCTTTGGTTTGACGATGTATCGAGTTGGTGTTTCTGTCCTCCTAGACAAGTCTGGTACCAATTTTCCTGCCCCGGAGGGATTAAAGATTTCGTGAGCATGGGGCGCGGGATCAATCCTATGTGAATTGCAGGGCGTCTGTAAACACTGCGCTACAGACGACCCGGAAGTCTATAACGCTGAGTAGAATAGGCGAGGTTGTGCCAACGAACTCAACTAAACCCACTTAAAAACTGGGAAAATTTCACCTAGGCTGAATGGTATCGCTTGTATTTCTACTGCTACTAATAAATTACAAATTCACAAAAACATTCCTATATAAAGCATGTAAAGAAACACTAAAGAAGAAACATTGAAAATACTCGCATTTTCAGCTGTATACCATCCATCACCACGTACCACTAGATCACCTTCCTCATCAACAGCCATAATGCCTTCACATTCCTCGTCTATAAAAACAATAAAACAGTTCCCTTAGATGGGAAGAAGGACAGAATGAAATGTATAGGGATAGACGGAAAAAATGCAAAGAGATGATAACGGAAGTAAAGAGATGGTAGAAAGAAGTGTGGGAAAGAATGAACTAGGAAGTAGTCCATAGCAAAGGCGAATTATCGATGTAACGAGATTACTATGCAAATCCACCAAACTTCTGGATATCTAAGAACACGTTCACAAAGAGTGGTATTGAAAAAGAGCTACGTTTCTACCTGAAAAGTCATCATTTTCATCAGGGTTGAGTTCTTGACAAACGCACATCTCATTGTATATCTGCTGCACTGAAAAAGACGACTTAGTTTACCTGCAACGACCCGAACAAAACCTCACCATTTATAATTATCAAGGCTGAAATCCTCACAGGCATTGATATCGGAAGGGACAAATCGAATAATCACATTCTTTGATCCGTCTTCACTATCCTCATCATCATCGGAAGTATTTCCGGTGTGATTCAACTCCTCATCAGCTAGCTTTAAATCTAAAAGCAAATCGGCTAAAAAGAAAGGCAAGGAGGTTGAAAAAGAGGCGATGGACAGTAATGACCAATTTCCAAAATTCTTCGTTAAACCTAAGCAATTTCAATGATACCTTTAATGTTTTGCGCCTCAGAAGCCGTGTAAAGAAAGATATTTTGTCTTCTACGTCGCTCTGAAACTAACACATTCATCTTTTCAGAGCGACGTAGACCTCACAAATATGAAGTCTCTGACATGTATTGTCCATACATAAACAAACCGAAGAAAAAACTTGCCGCTTTTCGATGCATCCACAACAATATAAACACATTCGTGAGGAAATGTGCTGAGATCAGTAGATATAGCATGGAGAATGATTGACGGATATGTCAGAGAGAAACCCAGACCCGACGTACGACAAATCCACGTGACCTGGCTGAAAACAACACTGTAACTCATGTTCTAAGTACGACAATGAATAATCTCGAGATATAAAATGTATGCCAGAACAGAACCTTATTTACATTTACATTTTATTTACTTTCTTACAGAAACATTTAGTAATTAAAATAACTAGTTCACTGAACTATTGAAGCATCAACCGTTTCGATCATACCGCTAGTATCCTAAGTAGCCCTCACAAACAAAACAACATAGAAGTGCCAAAGGCAAATAATACTCCTAAATATCCAGCAAAGAGCGCTTGTGGCGCTGTGGTTGGAAGCGCCCTGCAACACACAAAGGGGATCGATTCCCGGGCCCGTAGCTCACCAAGTTTCCGTTATCCGTGGTCGGCAATTTGGTACCAGACTTGTCTGGGAGGATAGTGGCAGTGGATCAATGGGCCACCGCGAATGATTGCAAAGGCCATACATGCATTAAACCACCTCCAACGATGGCTAATGAAGTCGGATGTATGGCGCATTCCTCAAGGATTGATCAACGCCGAGAGTTTTATCCTCTACCCAGCACTTCTTCTAACTTCATTAATCTTAACAAGGAAACATATCACGAATCGTACTGACCTCTCAGCAACACAAAGCGTTCCTTCACCAACACTCTCACTTTCCATGTATGCCACGACTTGGGGTTGCGTCAGCCTCACACCATCAGTTGGTTGACAAACTTCGGACAATATAATCATCCCAAATAACGTTAAATCTGCAACTGAAAAGCAAAAAAAGGTAAGGAATCATTCCACGAAGAAGAAAGGAAGATACGTAATTTGAGCTGAGACTCTGCTCCACTTAACACTTAAGCGTTCAAAGATGAACACGTGTTACGAACGTCAGATAAATTTTATCACAAATCTACAACACTGTGGACAAAACGGACAGAATGAACAACAAATCAGACAAGACATTTAATGTGAGAGGAATAAAATATCCGTAAATAAGACGTAAATCAGAGGGACTCAAGAAGTCCACATAATGATGAATACAGAACGGAATTCGCCTCTGTTGCTCTAATTCTTGTTCGGGCTTCTACTATCGTCTTAGAACTATAGAAGTCTGTCCGCGAATCTAAACTTTCTATACAAAACACTACATCATTCATTGCCTCCTCCCATTCACCGGCTGGAAACTGTGAAATCACTAAGTTCACTAATGATACAATAACGCTATCAGGAAGCTTAGTGAAAAGGTTTAAGCAAGGCAAAGCTAATCGAGCCACAAAATAATCTCCATCTGTAACTGCCTGTTGAAACACTTGAACTAAATGAGGCGAACATTTCTGTACAAGAGTTTCCGGCAACATTTGAGCACCACCAATAGTGAGAATGCACGATATGAAACGATACAGGATTTGCTCCACCTTAATGAAGAAGGAATAAAGACAAATTGTATGAAAACCGTAGGTAGTTTCCACGTAAAATTAAGCTCTATTCACAACTTTATATCACGACTTAAGTAAAAAAAATGGAACTAGGAAGGTTTGCCCTCACCAAAATCACAATTTTAATTTTTATTTACTACCTACTGCAATTTTCCACTGCAGGATATTTTGTGGGCTAAAATTACAATGACGCTGTGATATTTGCACAACACCGCATCGCAGGTGTCTGCACGATGGGGATCGAACAAGTTATTACCCTTTCCGGGGACTAACGCGTTCGCCACAACACCATGCGGTTCTTTCGTTTCGCCTGTCTCTCAGCTAGTTTTCTATCTACCGGTGACATTAGCAATCATCCGTTATCGGGATTGATCTGGGGAAGCCGGCACTGAACCCAGTAAAGCTGAGGCTGCAGTCGAAATCACAATGATTTTCCACAGCAGGGTATGTTTGCTCTAATCGTTCCATTAAAACCTTACCTCGTCACTCAACTTCTCCTCTTCCTCTTTTGTTTTCACCCAGTACTCAATGGAATATAGTGTTGCCTCCCGCACTGATGTTGCTATTTGAGTAGCAGTAGAATCCTCTAGGAATAATGATTCTTCAACAGAATGTACAGCCATCTAAACAAAATGAATCATTCAGTGTAAGTAAGGAAATATGAGATGAAGCATCCTACTCCGTCAAGAAACTTAGTGAACTTTCAACACAATTTTGTAACATTTCTAGCCTTTTCACATCGAATCACAAGCTAACAACAAGTGTTGATGTAAATGATAATGATTAGTAATATCTCGACAAAAGTAATCAATAAGCATTTTTCAACTTAGAGCTTATGGATTTTTTCTCAACAGAGGTAATAATGGCTGCAATAAATAAACCCTTTATGGTGATTCTACAAGAATTAAGAGACTAGACGGACCTCTAAAATATGGAAACAAACGGCTAAGACGTTCGCAGCTGCCATGTCTGCCTTATCAAGGTAGATGCGGATTTCTATTACCACATGACGTACTAGTAATAACAGTAATGACACATTCGGAGCAAACCATTCAGTTCCGAGAGTCTGAACAAGGAAGTTCAGAAAAGGTACGGTCTAGTACAATATAGAAGAAAGATACCAACCTCTAGAACTTCTTTCACCAAACAAAAAAACGATATTCTGATGTCATCGGAAAGCACTTCTGTTTTCGTTCTCAAAAATCTATCCGTAAGAGTCCGCATATTTTGTGGCCACTCATGAGAACAGCATATGGAATCTAAATATAACATTCAACTGGATTTCACAAGGACCATCTGGGAAAATAAACGCACATGGAATTTCTTACTTGAAGAATGCAGCCTTCGCTTTTCTTTAAAATCTCTTTAACGTTGAACACTAACAGATATGTATTTCAATCATAGTTAATATTTAAATAATATACTAAAATGACCCCCAGCAGGGTATCCCAAGCTGAGTCCGGGGTTTCCATCGGGAAGCCCAGCCAAGAGTAAACCAATACCAGGAACAACCACCTTTCAGGAATCAAACTAGTCCCATGGTGGCAAATCTCCCTGTGATCTACAGGGCCGGCAACTGCCTTTGGTGGTGACGACCTAGGGCAGATTTTGGCCTAGTTCACCTCGGGACGCCAGGGAAACAATGGCTAGACCAGCAAAACTCCGAGAATGTGGAGATTATGCCAAGACCCGCACAATCAGTGAAGGGCCATTCAAGTATCCAAGTAAGTATACTAAAAAGGCCGTTGTTAAAAAATAAATCATTAAAACAGAGTGCAACTAGCCGTAAGTACCACTGCACTGTTGTAAGGCCTTCATATACTGTGATAATCGTTGAATAATAGGCTTAAAGGGGAAATGCTCCGAATGCTCCACACAAAATGTCGTTAGCACATCAGCGACTTGATGTAGACAAGTTGAACTAGTACTATCAGCATCCTATAAACCGGGGTAAAAGTAGTCGTACAAAACAGCCTCAAAGAAATCAGAACGAACAATAAACCTTACCAAAGACAAAATAAAAATACAGCTAGATACTCGGTCAAGGGAATCCATATTATTTTCCGAATTCTTGAGGCGGTGGAGGAGATGAGGAAGAAGGAAATGGTAACAATGAAGAACATCAACGGTACATACTTGCAACATGGCTTCCAGAACTTCTATGGCGATGTCCTGATATCTATAAGGAGATATAATAACATAGACATCAAGCAAGGGAAGCACTTAAAATAGACACTTACTCTGTCAGAGTTGCCAAATTGTTGTCTGTAGCTAACAATTCCTTCATCAACTGAACAATGGATGTCATGATCGTGTCAACCTCCTCGGAAGTGATTTGTTCTTTCTGTAACGATCTGCTTGCTGTGGACGTAAAAAAAATAACGGTATAAAAATAAACATTAGTCCATTTGACCGTCCAATCCATTTAAATTTTGGTATGCGTTACACTTGGATATTTGGATGGCCCATCTTAAAGCCCAGAATAACACCGTTTGTTTCGGAGTTTTGCTGGTTTAGCTGCCGAAGTCTGCCCTAGGTCGTCACCACCACAAACAGTCGGCGCCCTTGTGGGTAGGAGGGAGATTTGCTACCATGCGACTAGTTTGACAGCAGGATGATGACGAATTCTGGCACTGGTTTACTCTTAGGTGAACTTTCGGATGGAAACAGCGCACCCTTTCTCATCTTGAAAGACCCTGCTGGAGATGAATCACAGGCTATACATCGCAGCCCGACACCCAGGAACACCTCCCAGCCATGATGAGGCGGTAAACCGCTGGGAAGGTAAGCGTTACAGCAGGCATAGTTAGTATGCATACAGAAATGTAATGGCTATAATAGTCCCTAATCTACATGACTTTTCCGTAACCCTTGGAACTTATAATTAAGTTTTTGCAATCTTCATGAGACGATACGAAATGGTTAAAAGAACACCAAGAAGATACACAATGGTATGTAATAGAAAAGTACAGAACGATGTTTCCTAGCACAAGAGTTAGTATTCAGGGCAAAGGTATGCATTTTGTAACTGCTTGATGATTACCTTAGATAGTGATGGCAGATTCAGAAGCATTGAGAATTGACTTGAACTCGCACCAACATCCTCACTGAGTTTCGAGGGATTTCCACTTGAATTTGAGCAGAGTTCATCGAATAAACTCATCTGTGCGTTCAGCTATTAAAAGATGAAACAGGCATGCAGATAAAAAGATGATGAAAAGAAACGGATGATGAGTCGATGTAGGTTGAACGGTGAAGAGTTAAAACTATCCAAAGAGTTAAGCTTTTATTTGGTGCGTACTGCAACTTTCACGGCAGGGTATGATGTTAGAGACACAGAACGATGCTGAGATATTTGCAAAACTTGGACCCCAGGTTAGTTCGAACCACGATTATTCTGTCCGAGGTCTCCTGTGTTCACCGTCACCATATGGGTCATTCATTTTGCCTTTCTCTCTGCTGTTTCTATCTACCAGTACCATCAGCAAGCACCCGTCAGCGGGATTGATCTGGAAAGCATAAATCGACATTGAAACCAGTTAAGCTGAGGCTGTAATCGAAATCACACTGATTGCTGATGGAATCATTAGATAGAAAACTAGGTGAGAGAAAAGCAGAGCAAGGGCCTCAGTGGTGCAGTGTGTAACGCGCAAGCTTTGGAAAAGATAATCGCTGTTCGATCTGGCCTTGGGCCCAAATTTTGCGAATATCTCAGCATCGTTGTGTTTGTAACTAACCGCAGAATTAATATAATATCTCCAGATGTTGAAGAACGTTGACAGTTAAGCTGAAGCGACAAAATAACGATGGCTTCTTCCTCAAATGCTTGTTTCAGCTAAACAAAACTTACGCGATAATACAATTGGGTCTGATAAAATCGAAACTATAAAGCCATATGAAATACGTTACGCAACAATGAAATACAATGAGGTCCTTTTAAGCAATACTGATGGGATGACAAGAAAACTTTGTGAGGATCTACGGCCAAGAACCCTGCTCGAAAAAGTCAGCAAGTGTGTAGTATAAGTTAAGGTTAATTTTTAAGTTAGAAGCAACTTAGTAGAACTTCACGAAAGCCTGACAGGAACGGCCATTCTCTAGCAAATCCTAATATGTGACATCGGAGGGAAAACATCAAATACTTGTTAAAACAGGAATAATATGGTGTTAATCCAGTACCTAAATGTTGTACCCATGCGCCGTTCTATGGAACTGAAATCCACTAAGTAAGAATTTTATAGTAAATGCTTTAAGTTATTTTTAAAAGCAACAATCAGTAACACTTGACAACACTAACAATGGCGTCTG